GTTGAGCCTCACCCGCCTTGTCCGGTTGGTCGGATTCGTGCAGACGTGTCACACCAAACCAAGTTTCCATCACGACCGACCAAAGACGGCTGGCCGATCGCACACAAAGCTCGACCTGCTCACCACTTTCCTCATCGCCGACGCCGCCGCGACGAGCAAGCAAACATCACTGCACCACACAAGCAAACAAGCAGGATGACCTCCAGCATCACGATGAACCCGACAACCACCGAGCTGGTCTCTCCCACCTCCTCCGACCACCGCCTCCGCAAGAGCGCCTTCGAGTCGAGGAGGCGCATGGTACTCGCCATCACTCTCGGTACTTCTTCCCCTCCGTGTGTGTGTGTGTGTGTGTGGCGACAATGTGTGCGGTCGGAGGTGTGTGCGGTCAATTGGACCTGACTTGTTGGCGTGTGTAGGGCGAAGGGCGAGGGAGGTGAGTACGCCGAGGTACGTGCGGGAGCAGGAGGAGGCCCTGCAGCACCTCCAGACCGAAGCCGAGATGGCGGAGGAGGAGGCCCGCAAGCTCGAGGAGGAAATCCGACGCATGGAGGAGGACCTCGACGACACGGACGATGATAAGGATGAAGATGATGAAGAAGACGATGACTACAACGAGCTCGACCATGAGGACAGCGACTATGATGAAAGCGAAGACGAGGTTGAAGAGGAGGAAGAGAGCGATGATGATGATGAAGACGATGATGAGGAAGGGCAAGGCGAAGACAGCGAGGAAGTTGAAGTGGTGGTCGAAGAGAAGGAGGAGGAGGAGAAGGTCGACAGGGACATCAGTGCCGAGGTCGCCCCCGAGCAGCAGCAGCAGCAGACCCCAGTTCGGAAGAGGTCCCGCGGCAACAACCTCATCAAGGAGATGCTGGTACCCCGCCACCGCTTCACCCTGATCGTTCTGCAAACATGGAGGGGCAGCTGAGACTAACTCTTTGTTTGACCGACCAACAGAGGAGCAGGCGATCTGGCAAGACCGAGTCGGTCCAGTGCTGAGTTCGCGCCCGATAGACGTCCCCCACTCCTCCCCTCCAGACTCGCACCCCGACGCCGATGGCTACGGGGGAGCGATGCCCAACAACGACTACGGCCACTTGATCAACCACGGTTAACGTTAGAGAACACAACCACAAGACACGGCCGTCATGTAAATAAATAGTTCACCACTGCATGTTGGTTGTATGTGCTGCGCACACGGCATTCTACTATTTTTCCCCTCACACATGACAGCGGACCGCGAGGGCTGGGAGGTGGTGGTTCGCTGGGAGGGCGAGGACTGGCGAGTCGGGGTGTGGCGAGACACGACGGTGGGCCAGCTCAAGGTGCTCCTCGAGGCCCTCCACGAACCTCGGCTCCTGCGGCCCAACGCCCAGCTCCTGGTACTGGTCGACGACGGGTCCACCACCACCCCTCACGCAGAGCTGGAGGACCACGCCCCCCTGCGCCAGTATGGCCTCTTGCTCGAGCCCACCGCCACCACCTCTGCGGTCCCTTTCCTGCGCGCAGCTGCGGAGGAGGACCGCTCGACGCCCTTCGTCCGCCTCTCCGTCCGCGACGATGCGCCGGACTACCCACTCTTCCCCATGCCCTGGCTTTGCGAACTCACCGAACCCCGTACCCCCGTCTTACTTATCAACTCCGATCAATCACACGACACCACCGCACACACTGCGCACTGCACACGTCGTACGCATACGACACGCCCACGGAGCAGCATAGCACTTACATGCGACGCACACTACACCATGGTGCACATGCAGTGTTGCCCGAGAGCAGAACACGGATTGCGCACCAGTTCAAGCAGTTGCTGCAGCTCCAACACACGTCGAGGTTTGGGACCGACCAGTTCGCCCCCAGCGCATCCGGCCTCACCCTGTGTGAGGTCGACACCACCACCTACCGGCGCTTTACCTTCTTCATCAAGCCCCAACCGGGCAGCGTTTACGCGTGTGCGTGTGCGGTCGTGCGTGTGCGGTGTGTGCGGTGGTGCATTTGTGTAGCTGTACCAACCATCTTCGCGTGATGCTCTCCCTCCCATAGGTTCGAAGATTGCTGTGCGCGTCCACCTGGCCCGCCAACATCCCGCCGAGCCTCTCCGACTGCAAGTCCTCACGCCCATCCACCACCCCTTGGTCGCACCCGACGGCCGCGTGGCCCTCTACGACCAGGAAAACAACTGTTCGCACCCATGCCTCGTGCTAGTGACTGAGCTGTTGGCTGTGTAACGAAAGTGTTGCCTTCTTCTTCATCTTCTCAATCAACAGGCTTCCGCACGTTGTCGATGCCGCACGTAGTGGGAGTGTTGCAGATGTTTCGGGAGCAACTGCTGGTCTTGGACTACTCCCACCTACGAGAGGCGTGCAGCGAAGCGCCCGAGCTGCAGAGGGCCATCGACGCGTGGACGGCGGACCCCGCGGGGCAGGCGAGCAAGGCCAGAGCCATCGCGAAACTGTTGGCGCAGCCCGGCCCGGTGGTCATCGACGAAATGATGACCAGCCCCAGCTCGCCCTGGGTGAAGAAACTCATGGGCTTCTTTCCCGAGGTGCGACAAGACGGCGTTTGCCCCAACTGCACTGATCTAACTCGACACACACCGCACACCGCACACACACACGCACACCACACACACACACACACACCGCACACGCACACGCACACAGTGCCAGCGCGAAGTGCGGACGCTGCTGATGATGGCAGCCAGGGACGCGGAGACGGGGGACGCCAAGCACTCGGCGTCCAGGCTGTGCGACCTGCCGCGCGAGCTGATCGTCGCACTCGTGCTCGACCTGATACGGCTCCACGTCGCACAACTGCGCGGCGACGACTGCCAGCGGCTGCGGTCGTCGGTCGTCGTCGCCGCAAGCGGGCTGGGGTACCCGGATCTGCCGCCGGACTGGCAGGACCGGATCCTGCGGGCCTTCCCGGCACGAAGGCTGGCTTACCGCTATCCGGGTCCACTGAAGGACTGGTGATCACGCTTCATTGCACTGCACTCTCTTCACAGCTCTCTTTTTGCGACATTGTTGGCATACCTGAGGGGTGGGTGGGGATGGTGACTACAGCTTCAAGCCGAGGTGGCCAAGGTCCTTGCCGGTGCGCTCGAGTACGGAGACGAGCACCTGCGCCCTCTCGTCGGACAGCGAGCGCAGCGGTCTGCGCGGCACTCCGCCGCGGTACACGTTCGACAGGTCCAGCGCACGCTTCATTCCGGGTGTGCCAAACTCTGCCGCACATGGGAGCAGCCGTTAGCAGCCAGCGACAACGCCGCAGCAGCGAACAATGGGAGAGCAGTACCGGCGGTGATCTTCTGGTTGAGCTCGACGACGGCGTGCTGCACCTTCTGGCACTGGTGCAGGAGGTGGGGCTGGGCCTCGGCCGCGTGGAAGTCCTTGTAGAGCTGGCTCAGCACCTGGTCGTAAAAATGCACCGCGTGAGCCTCGATTGGCGACACAGCCAAGAGGCCTGAGAGAAGAGGGCAAAGAAGAGCTGAGGCCAGCGCACGTGTGGGATGATGTTGGCCAGCGCCATCACGCCGCCGTCGGCTCCGACGGTGAGCGCGGGGAAGAAGTAGCTGCCCGACCCAGCCAGCACCGAAAACGACTTGCCCTTGCTCGCGAGCGGGAGCTGTGTGTGGTACAGCAGCAACACGAGACTGGAGTCAGTCCCCGTGCACTGGACAAAGCCGATCGCACACAACAAACAAAGAAGGAGGATGAAGAGGCGGGTGTGACCTTGACTTTCTGAACGATTTCGGTGAGCTGCACGATGTTGCCGGAGGTGTCCTTGATGCCGACGATGTTGGGGATCTCGGCCAGGTCGCGGATGAGGGGCACGGTGAAGGCCACGCCGCCGGCCATCGGCGGGACGTTGTACAGGATGATCGGCATGCCGCCCACGTTCTTCGCCACCTACTCCCCCGAAGCCGGTTAGGCGAACATGTGTAAATATTTCTGTACATATGTAGATAATGTGATAATATGCGTGTATTACGACATATTCACATGTGGCTCGGTGCCTTACCTCGGTGTAGTGATGCTGGAGGTTGTTCTGCATCGTGTTGGTGTAGTAGTACTGGGGGGGGGAAAGAGTGTGAGCGACAGGCAACATGAGCCAGATGGTGGACAGCTAAGCACCGGCGTCACGAGCATGACTGCATCGTAGCCGAGGTCCTTGGCGGCGTTGGTGAGCTCAATGGTCTCCCTGGTGCTCACACAGCCGGTGCCAGCGATCAGACGCAGCTTGTGCCCGGTTTCCTACTCACGCAGGAAAGCCGCCATCGAGGCGGTGAGTCGCACGGTCATTCATGAACGAATGAGGGCGAGAAAGGCAGACCTGCTCCGCTTTGGCGGCTTCCAGCTTGGCCGTGCGGAGCACTTCGATCCGTTCGGCGGAGGTGAGGAACGGGAACTCGCCGTTCGAGCCCAGCACCACCAAGCCCGAGAGTCCGTTCTGCACCGGTGGTCCATTCGCTTCCAAGTTCAGTGCGAGCGCTTGACCACTACTCGACGTAGTCATGGCCTTGAATACCACCAAATGGCCATATACGGTACCTCCTTGCGAGCGTAGCGCTGCACGTTGTGCGCCAGAGCGGCGTGGTCGACGTCCTCGGTGCCCTCCACGAACGGAGTGGTGATGGGCGGGAACACGCCCCGGAACAGCGGCTCCTGCCCTCCTGTAACACTCCCGAACCCCCGCTAGCCAACACCAAGGGGCCATAATCAGATCAGATCACACCTTTGGACGAAGATAAGAACACGAACGAATGAAAAGGGAAAGGAGTGGTACCACAGCAGCGAAGCCGCAGCTACGAACCGAAGAGGTGAGGGCAAGGCGGTGCGACAGCTTCATGACCCGGGTACAGACAAAAGGAAACGAAAGAGAAATGCTAAAGGAAATGGAAAATGGAATTCTCGTTGTCTGGTTGGACCACGAAAGCATCAAGACTTGTAGTTGCCGCCGGCCTGGACGCGCTCGTCGTCGAGGATCTCCTTGACCTTGGTGGCCTTCCACAACGAGTGGAACTTGGCGTAGTTGAGCTTGCCCTTGAGCCACCCGAACACCAGTCGATCGAGGTTGGCCACCTCCCGCTGGCCGCCCGGTCCCTGCGGCGCCTGCAACACGTCGTCCTTGATCTGGAACAGGAGGCCCTTGTACTTGGCATCGACGGTCTTGATGGCGTCGGCGTAGGCCTTCCTGCCGCTGGCCGACGACTGGTCAAAGCACTCGGCCGGCAGCTGCGCCACCCAACAACATAAAAAGTCAGTACGGTGGCGTGTGTCGTGCGTGCGTCGTGTGTTGAGGAGATGTACATCGTTGGTGAATTGCTGCACGAGTCGAGAGATCTCGTGGATGAGCTCCTTGGTCTTCTCCTTGAGCTCGTCGAGGAAGGTGTGTATGGGCGGCGGCAGCACGTCAAGCACGTCGTCGATCGTCCCGTCAAAATATCGCTCGATGGCGATGTTACGGTTCGAGAGCAGGTTCCCTGCACAACCAAAGCAACACAATAGAATGCAGTGAGTACTACCACTAGGTTTGCAACATGACCCGAATCGACATGGAGTGAGCGTACGTACCAGTGATGAGCAGATGCTTGTCGGAGTAGAAGCGATTCTTCATCTTGGCGACAGGCAGTCCGTTCCAATAAACTACAAATCCCTCTGGCGTCTGCTCGAGGGGCGGGTGAGTGAGATGCTGCTGCAATGGAACACCGACTACTCATGTATGTCTGGTGCGCACCTCTCCGTAGAGATCGGTCCGCTTGGCCTCATTTTCGATCCATTCGTTGGCCTGCTTCAGGCTTCGCACCCCGATCGAGCTGAAGTCATAATATCGGGGTCTCGAAACCGAAGGACCCAGCTGAAGAGAGAGGTTGTCGCAGGTGAGCAGCGAGTGAGCGAGTGAGCGAGCGGCGGTGGTAAATGAACGCGCGCGCGTGACAGTGACACCAACCTGCTGCGCGATGGTGTCGAGCTGGTCCTTGGTCATCAACTCACCGGAGTGCCTGTGACGCGCTCCGATCAGGTAAAGCTTGTCCTGTTCGCCGACGACATGTCATTCGTCAGGGTACCGACACGTCGCACTAGCGCAAGAGGCAACGTCGGCAAGTACCTGCGTGTACTTATTTACAACTTGGTTCTGCTCACAGCAGAGCTCGAACAAGTAGGTCCAGCCCTGGTCGAATATCTTGAACAGCCTGCACGTGTTCAAGGTGGACATGTTTATCAGCCATCACACTCCCAGGCGCTACATAGCTATAGAGGGAGTAGTGAGTGAGTGAGAAGAGATTGGGTACTCCTGGAGAGCTTCATAGTCGTGGCCCTGGGCACGGTCTCCGAGGAAGAGGCCCCAGAAGAGCCTCTCGAACATGACTGCGGGAGTCACCATCCCAAGAGTGGAGATACGCCAGCCCTGTTACCTCGGTCATGATCAGAGGCGGGTCAAAGCACAGCCGAGTCGACATGTGAGGCGAGTGAGGCCGTACGTGGTAGTGCTGCGGTTTTCGGACCAGTCCGCGTGCGTGCTTGGGTGCCTCGCCTTCGCCCTGCTGCTGGCTGTCGGCCGTGGCCTGCAGGACGCGCGGCAGGACCTTCTTGAACCTTCGCGCCCTCTTCTCAATCAGGCTGGCCTTGCCCAGACCCTGGAACCCAGTCGTTCCGTCGCTCTCTTCCTCCTCGACGTCCTGCTTCTCCACCTCATTCGCTTCTTCTTCGTCGTCGGCAACGTTGAGCTCAACGCTGGCTTCGCTCTTGGCTGCCGCGGCGGCGGCCTCCATCTGCAGCGCCGTCTCGTAGACGGCGTCGAGGGTGGCGGGCGAGCTCCACCAGAACTGGATGCAGGTCCCGTCGGCCTTTTCGGCCATGCCGAACGTCGAGCAGTTGGCGTCGAAGACCTTGGCGCTGGCGACCGGGCACTCGGACTCTTGTTGGTTGAAAAACTTCTCGAATGGACGGCCGACGATAACCCAGCCCTCTTCAGCGATGGCAGCGGCAGCAGACCTTCGCTCAAAGATTATGCCGCGAGCCTCTTTCACCTCCTCGTTCCAGGTCTCGGTAAGGCACATCTCGTACTTGAATTGATAGAAAATGGAACCCTCCGTGAATACATTCACGCCGAAGAGGGTGAAGAAGTGCTCCATGAGGTCCTTATCCGTCCATCCTTTCTTCTCCTGGTCTTCTCCCTGATCTACCTTCTCTCTCCATAATGCCGCAGGAAAATTGCGGTTAAGATACGCACGAAGGGGCGAAGAGGTAGCGTCTACCACCTTAGATTCCATTTAATCACAGCTTTAATCGTAATCGTAATGGAATTTTACAATCGATCAATTTTTCTTGTGTTGCCCATCGCTATCAGAGAAAATATATTCTCGGAAATTAACAAAAACAGAATTATTATTGAACAAAAACAGAATTATTATTGAACAAGAAGAAAAAGATTAAGAAAATCTAGGAATGCATTCTTGTGCTCCATTTGGCGAAAATTCACCCAAAGTTGGCGTAAACTTTTGGCAAACATGCAGTGGCATTGCCGCCACAGTCGCCTCTCCTTCATGTTTGGCGGGTTCAAATAGACGCAAGTGCGATCACCACACTCATCATCCTCAACGATCGACACACAGCAAGCCTAACGCTTGAAGCCTACTACCCTCGCCATGCAACAGAACCCCACCTACGATATCCTGCACCACGCCAAGGTCAGCGACGTGATTACCCCCAAGGCCGTCATCACCCTCGACTCTGAAGACACTGTGGAGAAGGCCGTGAAGGTGAAGCACTGCCCCCAGCACGCCACTACTTGGCGTGAGTACTCTATGCCTGACTGTCGTGTATGCTGTGTATGTCGTCAGGTCTTGGCCCAGAACCACATCCAGTCTGCCCCTGTGGTCAACAGCAAGACCAACGAGGTGTTGGGCATGGTCGACATGCTCGACATCGTCGCTTTCATCCTCTCCGTCGCTCCCTCGGGCCACCAGCTTAGCGTATGTGCCCCACTCGACTCTGGTGAAGCGTCAATCGCTCACCAAATTCTTATCTGCAGGCGAACGCTCTGAAGACGATGGAAATTGCTGGCCGCGCGATGGCATTGGAGACCTTGAAGAACGTCGTCGGTATGCCCACCTTGCCTTTCAACATCTTCTCGTGCATTTCTTACCTCCATTCTTTCGAACAGACTTCTCCGGCCGCGATCCCTACGTTCCCATCACCACCAACAGCCCCCTCACCTACGCCGCGACGCTATTCCGTCAGGGCATCCACAGGCTTCCCGTGGTGGACGAGCACACCAAGGCTGTACGTGTCACGCCCTCTTCTTGACCTTTATTTGTGTGATGGCGTTACTAACGTCATATCTGCACAACATGTAGGTCCAGCACATCGTCTCGCAGTCGGCCCTGATCCGTTTCATCCACGAGAAGGACCTTCACAGGGGCCATCTCAAGGAGATCGGACACAAGACCATCGGCCAGCTCGGCCTGGGCACCGGCGGCGTCGTGTCGTCGCCTCTGCACGACTCAGTGGTACGCACCAAAACTCATATCAGCTGTGATGATACAGTGTTCACCTTGTCTAACCATTCATCCTTTCCATGCATTAGTTCAAGGTCCTTCACGCCCTCAGGACTGGTGATGTGAGCGCCGTGGCGCTGGTGAACGATACCGGCAAGCTCGCTGGCAACTTCTCCGCCACCGACCTCAAGGTACGCATTCACACGCTACAGACCAACAATCATCATTGAGCACCCCAGCTCACGCATCGAAATGAACAGGGCCTCTATGATGAGACCATGCCCAAGCTGCTCGACACGGCCGAGGACTACCTCGAGAAGTTCAGCCCGTCGTCGCTCAAGCCCGCCTGCGTGCGACTGGACACCACCGTCGCCGACGCGGTGAAGGCCATGGTGGAGGATCACGTTCACAGGCTCTGGGTCATCGATGACGACTTCAAGCCCACCGGCGTCATCACCATGACCGACCTCAACGGCCTCTTCGTCAACAAGGCCCTCTAAGCCAGAGCTTCGCCACGACATCATCACCACACCGCTGTTAACCCCCAGCCCGGCCATGGTTTTAGTAAATAAACGTTTATTTATGTGACATTGATGCACCCAGCAACGTTGGTCGCTGAGTTGTTGTGTTTGTACAAGGAGACGCGCAGATGGTCTCTTTCTTCAGGGCAAGTCGGAAAGGCTCTTCTTGGCGGGCAGGGCGCCGGGCGCGTACACGACCTTCTTGCCACCCTCAGACTTCTTGAACTGGAGAGAGCCAGCCAAGCAAGGCAGGGTGTAAGAAGAGAACACGAAGGTGGAAAGAGAACAGCAGCTGTTGAGGGAAGAGTGGGCGCCTTGTACCTTGCCGTCGTGGGCGGTGTGGCCGCCGCCGCTGTTGCCGTTGGCCTTCCAGCCGGCCTTCTCGACGGAAACGGAGGGCTTTGGCGCGGGAGGACGCACGTTCTGGGCAGCAGCTTGTTGCTGTGATGAAAGAGATGTCAACATCAACCAACATGAGCGCTCTCTTGGAAAGAATGAAGGACGGGGTACATACCTCGAACTTGCCAGCAAGAGAAGCCATGGCGATGGATTGTGGTGGGTGAGGGGACGTTGCTGAAGATGAGGCTTGTGCGACACAGCACCGTGTTCGTGTTTCCCTGCATTCGCGGATTGAGGCCACCAGCACCGCCTTCTTAACGCGGGACACGTCAGCCTGACCAGGAAGCCCCACTTTCTGTGGGCTCTACACGAAAAGAATCAACGACACCTACGACGACAAGCGCGCAGGAGGAAGCATCCATTCGATTTCAAACAATTAGAGTTAGAGTTGCCATTTTTACCATTTAATCGCTCCATCGAGAGTGGAGGAAGCATTAAAACAAGAATAGCGCAAAACAACAGAACACAAATGCGACTTGGCAGCCCTCGCGACAAGCACAAACAGGATGGAGAGAAGGAGGCAGATACGAAGAATGGCAAAACAAGATCAAGAGCAAATACGATTGCGACGGCTGCGCCAGCTGACGCCACCAACGCCAAGCACCGAAGCGTTGCGGGCAGTCACATGGGTGGCGTGCTCGTCATGCCACCCCTTCAGCCGGGCAGCGTGATGCTGCGCCCAGTCGTGATGCCCGCACCGTCCGTCGCCTCCCTTCGTCGCCGCAGCATGGAACCCCACCAACCAGCTCCGCTGCCCCACAGGCCTCCATCTACGCAATCTTCCGCACCCGCATCCGCAGTTGCTTCGCCCTCTGCCGCGGTCATCGACAGAGCCGCACAAGCAATGGTGCGTCTCAAACTACCTCGCTACTACTACTCTTGTAAGCTTGCATGCTTTGCTTGCTCACGCTGTCGGCTGCTCCTCGCTTAGCTGCAGCAACCGCCGCCGGTCGTACGACAGCCGCCGAACCGCTGGGACGGCAGCATCAGCGTTGATCGGGCGAGGGTGGTCCCGCACGCCCCGCCCTCCTTTGGCAAGGGCTCGAGCATACTACCACGCAACAGGCCGCTCCCAACGATCCCAGAAGAGGTACGCTATCGTGCTGCGCTGCTTGTAGAGGCTCTACTCGATCAACTTAAAGTGCTTCGTTCACGTCTCTAGATGCGGCCCAAGCTTGGCCCCGCACCGTCGCTGCCAGCGATGAGCACCCGCACGCCGTCCGTACAGAACTTTGCGCAGGTGATGATGGTCTCTTCGCCCGCGCTTCCGACCTCGGCCAAGCCCGACTCGCCCATCGCTCAGCGCAAGATCAACGAACAAAACCAACCCCAGCCTGCAAGTATGTTCAACGCGCTCCACTAGCCGCCTGCTCTTCTGGTAGTGAACAGGCCTGCTAATGCCTTTGTCGTTGTTGTTGTTGTGCTTCTGCTAGTGAGCAAGATGTCAATGCGCCAAGTCGCCGCAGAGGAGATCCTGAGCAGCGAACAGACGTACGTCGACCAGATCCATCTGTGCATTGAGGTACCTCTTTACCGCTCTTTGTATGCCTTTGGGAGCCCTCGTTGCTGATCGATGCACCCGTGTCCCGGAGCGTACAGAGCTACAAGAAGCCGATCCAAGCAAGCAAACTGCTGGAAGACAAGGTGGTGCGCGATCTCTTTTCCAACGTCGAAACGATATACGGTACCTCGACTTCATACTGCAAACGCCCCCCTCGCTACTCTCTGGCTCATGCTCTCCACGTTGACCGGTGGCACAGCGCTTCACGTTGACTTTCTAGCTGAGCTCAAAACGAGAATGCGACGGTGGACCTCACCAACAGAGAAAAACAGCATCGGCGACGTCATGACTCGATTGGTACGCTTAATGAGGGAGGTAAGTGACTGAGGTATAACGTCTAACGTCTCCTCCACTTCATTGCACTGCAGATCCCCTACCTGAAGATCTACCAGGAGTACATCAATAACTACGAGAACTCAATCAAAGTGCTGAACAAGCTTCTCGAGAAAAACTCCAAGTTTGTGCAATTGCTCAACGTACGCTGTCTCCTGTCGTTGCGACGTATGCTTGGCCTTGGCTGATTGACTGTCATGCTGCTGCCTGGTGCCTAGTGCCTGGGGTCTGGCTCATTCTTGGGCAAGCTCGGCCTCGATCTGTTACGAGGCGTACCGGTGCAGAGGATCACTCGCTACGTGCTTCTGCTCAAGGTACATTGTGGCTGGCAGTGGGGTCAACAAAACGCAAAGCAGTGCACACAGCGCATGCGAGCCCATCATTGATTTCGCGCCTGTGTTTCCATTTAGCAACTGCTCAAGTACACGCCTGAAGATCACGTGGACTTTGAACAACTCAGCGATTCCTACGATAAGATGTACGCACTGGCCGAATACATCAACGAGAAGAAGAGAGAGGTACCGTGTCGTTTGTGTTCAGCCCTCACTCGAAGATAAGCTTGGCTGATCTGTCATCCAACACCAGAGCGAATCGCGCACTCGACTCATGCACATAGCGCACCACCTGAGTGGTAACTTGGATGTACGTCGTCTCGTACTTGGTGAGCCGGTGTTGAGTTGCGGCGGTTGGATGGTAACTCACTTCTCCTTCACCGTTCAGCAATTGCGAGAATCCGATAGTTCACCTCAGATCGCACGGGAACACAAGTGGAAGACGGAGAGCAAGAGCAAGACCTGCGACTACTGTGGGCAGATGGCGATGGGCTCTCATTTGAGGTGTAAACACGATAGTACGGCCTCTCCCTCTTTCCCGCTTCCCTGGCGCCTGTGTTCCTGATGCCTGACGATTTCATTTCCTATCCCGTCAGTCTGTAAGTACAGAGTGCACGAAGAGTGCAAAAGCAAAGCGCCAATGTACTGCTCGGACAGAACGGTACCCCTCTAGTCGCCCCTGTCCTTCAGCGCTGTCGATGCCGCTTAGCTTCTGACTCCTTCCTTCATCCTATGATATATATAGAAGGTGAGCCTGGTGAAGCACAATCGCTATTTGATCGAGGAAGCCGAGTTCATGCACAAGATGACGCCCCTGGATCACCCGGACTCGCGTGCGAAGCTATGTGCTGCGGTACTAGCCCTTCATCAACCACCAGTCGTGCCTTCTGTCTACCACCTACTAACGGTCACTGTCCTTTTTCTACAGTTGGTTTTGGTGGTCAACGACGGGCTGGTTATTGTGCACAAGTCCGAGCACAGCGACAAGTACGCCCTGTTGGCCTTTGTGCGATGGTTCAAGAAGTCGACCAACGAACATGCTATCCTTAACGAGAATGGTACTGTAGCGCCCCACTCCGCGCACTACCCTCTTGCACACGTCATTTCTGATCGTTGTCGTTGACTTTTGACTTTTTGCAGTGACCGACACTGCCTTCTCTGTTACGGACCCTCGGTCACGCATGGTCCACACCTTCTCCACCGATTCCAAGGAGAAAAAGGAGCACGTCGTGGAGCTCGTCAGGTCGCTGATGAACAAGTGGCACACGGGCATCCTCGAGAAGCAAAGGTATGGGGGGAAAGGAATCACCAGCAGCTCCGATCCCATGGGAACAGCTTTGCACTCTCTGATCCGTTTCCTCTTGCGCGCAGGGAAACGGAGGAGGTCAAGGAGCAGTTCAAGGGCCTCACCTTCAAGATCCTCTTCACCGTGCCGGTGCACTCGTCCACGGAGAAGGAGTTCATTGTACGCACCTCTTTATTCTCCAAAACCGCATTGGTGAAAATGAAGAAGTGACTGAAACATCTGCACACGCGCGTACAGGCCTATGTGGTCGAACTTCGAATGGAGAGCGGGTCGGCTACCCTCATCAAGAGATATCGCCAATTCCTATCTCTTCACAAGAAGGTACACGCCGACCACGCTCGTTACTTTCACAAGACGACGCGATCGACTAAGCTCACCATCGCCCCTGTCTCTCGTTAATTGCGCAGCTCAAAACGCTGTACAAAAACGTGCCCAAGTTCCCGGGCAAGAAGTACGTGGGCAACACGGCACCGAGATTTGTACAGAAGCGGTACCAGCTCCCTTTCCCCTCGCCGGGTGGTCTGTTGCACCACTTTTCAGCTGACCTTGTGGTTTATCGCAGGTGTCGGCAACTTGAAGCGTATCTCAACAAGATCATCACCTTCCCTGGTACCGGTTCCACGTCTTCTCATCTCTTTCGCGTGCATGAAACTGTGTTCGCGCAATGTGCTGACGCGCGCCACACGGGTGCAGGCGCCTTCGACGTGGAGGAAGTGCGAACTTTCCTGATGACCACCATATCTTCCAAGGGCGAAGATGAAAAGGCTCTCATCAAGAGAGGTACAGCATTGCCCTCCCCCCCAGCGCACCACGCCGCTTGCTTACCTCAGCACCAACACACACACACACTCACACCACACACACCACACACCACACACACACACACACACTGACACACACTGACACACACACACACCTCGCCATTCAAGGTTGGAGCAAGGACAAGGAAAAGATTGAGGAGATCTCGCGCCAGCGAAGCAACACCGTGTCCACTTACCTGGAAACGGTGCGGCTCAGCACCTACACCCCCCGTGCCAGCGTCTACGGCTACGAACCACCGCGCAGCGTAGGCGAGGAGCCGAGCGGCGAGCGGACGCCGCCGGACCGGTCGAGCGTTGACGACTCCACCGCCACGGAGGACTCCTCCGATCCGCTCACGCAGTCGAGCGGACTGGTCCGGACCACCGCCAATCAGCCCCTGGGCGCCATCGGCCGGTTATCGCGAGGCGAAGGGGACATGTCCACCAAGGATACCGCGCTGTGGGAGCGCATGCAGCGGTCGAGCGGGCAAGTGGCACTGGCCGAGCACAACAACAACGACAACGACAACAACGACGAAGGTGAAGAAGGCGATACAGAGGCGACCACCATCAAGCCCGCGGGTAATGACAGCGACAGCGACGCCGGCCACTACGACGCCTCGGCGGACAAGCAGCGGGCCGTGGTGCTGTACGACTTTGTGGGCCAGGGCACGGAAGAGCTGGACATCGTGGCGGGCGACGTGGTCACGGTGTGGGAGCGCAGCAACGACGAGTGGTGGTTCGGCTCCGTCAACGGTCGCGACTTTGGCTTTTTCCCGAAGATCTACGTCCAGGTGCTGGGCCTCGACGATCATGGGCGACACCAGTAGGCGAGCCCCTCCATGCCCACGGAAGCAATATCTAATGAGAGGCAGATGCCCCGACCACTAAGAACACGTTCTTTTAAGCTCCGACTCACGTGCAACCAACCGGCAATTAAATTCTGGGGTTGTTGTGGGTGCTTGGACGATTTGCAAGCGTTTTTGCCGAGATTTCCGGAAATTTATTTTATGCAGACATTTGCCAGTGAGCCACACCATCTTTCTGGGCTGGGTAGACCCAACCCGGGCGTTTGCAAGCGCGTCTCTTGCACATTTCCTGGCAGACCACGCTGTCTCAACGTTCGGGGCATGTTGGTTGAACTATAAAATGCCACATGTGAGCTGCTCCATATTTTCATCAACCTCAACTCTGCACTCTACGACCAACAACAGCCACAGCCACCTACAAGTGGCCAGCAACTCGCCAACATCATCACCAGCATCACCAGCATGAAGCAGTTCATCCTACTTGCGCTCTTTGCGGCGCTCTGCGTCCACTACGCCACCGCTGATTGCAGTGTGAGCATCAAGCAAACGCTGGGCAGCGCCTGGCAGCAGG